CCAGAGAAGGAGCACCAAGATGATCCCAGGGTTGGAGCAGCTCTGCTCTGGAGACAGGCTGTGAGAGTTGGGGTGTTCAGCCTGGAGAAGAGAAGGCTCCAGGGAGACCTTAGAGCACCTTCCAGTACCTGAAGGGGCTCCAGGAAAGCTAGGGAGGGGGTTTTCACCAGAGAGGGCAGTGAAAGGACAAGGGACAATGGTTTTAAATTGGAAGAGGGGGATTAGGTTGCACATCAGGAAGAAATTCTTCACTATGAGAGTAGGAAGGTGCTGGAATAAGTTGCCCAGGGAGGTTGTTGATGCCCCATCCCTGGAGGTGTTCAAGGCCAGGTTGGATGAGGCTTGTGCAGCCTGGTCTGGTGGGAGGTGTCCCTGCTCATGGCAGGGAGGTTGGAAGCCCATGATCTTTAAGGTCCCTTCCAACCTCATCCATTCTGTGACTCTAAAAGGCTCTATAAAAGCCCAGAGTGTCAATGTTTTTGGTAATGTGGACAGGAGCCTCCTGCCAGCCATGCACAGACCTTCAATATCTTGGCATTCAGCATGGGGAATATCGGATGTTTCTCCCATGGTGTGGATTTTGATCAGCAGCCTCGAGCTGACAGATTTTACTGTTTATTATTTATCCTCAAGCTATTTACTTCCCTTTAAACACTGAACTCCACACTTGCGTGCTGACATGGACCTTTTTTTAATTAAGCACCTTCTCACTGTTGAATTTTACTTAACAGATAACTGCCTGTCGGCTTTTCACTTTTAACTTCTTGTTTGCTCAGCACTGAGGCTTTTCCTAATTAAAGCCCTTTTATAATTATTCTGGTCTGCAATATTTGCTCTTCAGAAAAAAACACCGCATAAATGGTTTTGCGTGACTGAATGATTGAGAGAAACACTTGGGGTGTTATTCTTTTCTTCAGTAACACAAGTATTTAAATTTAAGCAGAGAATTTTATGGCTTTTTTATCCACTGTCTCTCAAGGTTCAAATCTTCCATGAACCATCATGAGCAGCTCTGAGTCACTTCTTCTCCTGGTGTCAACACTTTGCATCCATTCACGCCGGATCAGAATCTGTACAGAAGCAGCTACAGAGCAAGAACTCAAATAAGCAGCCATGGATTTGTCTCACAGAAGTATTTTCAGCACCATCTCCCAACACAAACACACCAGATAAGGAAAAGCTGTGTTGAAAATTCCTTCTCCTGCTTATCTAACGGGTGTGCAAATCATAAATGAGGTAAAAAAAAAAAGATATACAGAAGATCACAAGTTTTTCAGACACTGTCTGTAGTTTGCATTTGACAAATCAAATGTGATTGCAACAGCAAGGTCTAAAAGAGCATAAGAAGTAACTGACCAACAACTTGTTGCTCATAAAAAAACCCAACAAAACAGCTTGTTTTTTTTATTTTAGTCTTGGTTTCTATGAATGGGATTGGAATATGAAATAAAGGTTGTGGCTGCCCCCTCCCTGGAAGTGTTGAAGGCCAGGTTGGACAGGGCTTTGTGCAACATGGTCTAGTGGGAGGTGCCCCTGCCCATGCAGGGGGGTTGGAAATAGATGATCTTCTAGGTCCCTTCCAACCCAAACCAGTCAGTGATTCTATGTTTCTATGAATTCACAAAGATATAAGGAAAAGCCTCTATAAATACCTAAATAAAAGTCGGTTAGTTCGTGGCCACATTGCCACTGATAATTATTAGGGCAATCAATGGCATTTTGGAAAATAAAGGCTGTGTCCTCGTTGAAGGAGTTGTACCCTGATGTACATGTAGGTTGCATAACTGCTCAGCAGAGGCTTTTGCATCCTCCTACTTTTCAGACTCTTGCAGTCAAGCACGTTCTATCTCAGAAAAGAATGCATCTTTTTTTGCCAAGACTTGTCAACATGAATTCTTGAGCATAAAATGTAAAGTCTCTGAGGCTGATTTTAGCCAGAGTTTTGGTGCACTGGTCTTGGTGCACACCAAAGGTGTCTGTAGGACTGGGGAAAATTTTAGCCTATAAAAGGGAGCAGTTCACAAATTTATGGCTTATCAGAAACTAGCAGTATACAGAAGGAATTCTTTATAACTCCACTGCTTTGCCACTCAGACCTTAATCCCCCTCAAATAGCCTATATCCACAGTCACTGAAATCCATGGGGACATTGTCACTGGTGTCAATGGGCATATGGTGTTACTAGAACAGCATCTCCAGCAGGTTCTGGATAGGAACATTAGGAAAAATCTTCATTTATAATGAACTGTTTCATCTTTCAAAAGACTGGCCTCAGACATGCTTTGGAAACTTCTTTATTTGGGGGTATGTCTTTCTTCCACCAAGCTGCATATTTATCTGCTTTTGTCCTAGAGATGATCCTACGAGCTTATCTCCCAGGGGATCAGAACTTCTTTCTAATTTGCTTCTTTATTAAGGCTCGAAATTTACTTTTTCTTACTGCTCATAATATTTGCTACCTGCATGAAAAGCAAGTAGCACATTTCCATGTCTTTTTTGAGACTTTTGCTTATTTCTTTGCTCCTCTGCCTTTAGCAAGTTAATGTTCTGACAGCAGAAAAGCAAGGGGCTGCAGGTAAAAGGGAATTGATAGTTTAGTTCAGCTCAAGAGGAAAAAAACCCAACAACCAAAAAAAACATGTTGTGTGATGGCTTACCATGCAAGTATTCCCAAAGGACCAGCAAACCTAAGTGACAGGCTTCCTTGGGGATGACTTGCACAATTGTGTGTTATTAGGTGTAATAAGAAACGACAGAATCTGGCTGTTAAAGCTTCATGAGATGCTCAAACACTCTAGCGAGAGCAGGCATTAAAGCTACAGATAAATCACACCTAAAGCAATCCCACTTTGCTGCATTCCTAACTTCTAAAATATCCTTTGAAATCAGTATCGCTGCTCTTTATTCTCAGCACATTTTTATTTTATTTTTTTTTAACTGAAGACCTCTGAATTTCACCTGAGACAAGGACATAACCTCAGATACTGCAGTGAGCTCTGGTTTGTGCAACTTTTGGAAAGCATTTGGAAATGTTTTTCTTTTTCAGGTGGTGAGGAATTAGTAAAGAGTGTCCTCACTGCTTAGAGAAAGCGACAACATTTATTTCTGGAAGTGAGAAACAGACATTCTTTGCACAAAGTGGAGAGGCTGTGGTTTGGATGGAGCATATGTAAGAATGGGTAGGTGTGTATCACAGAATGACAGAATATTAAGGGTTGGAAGGGACCTTTGAAGATCATGAAGTCCAACCCCCCTGCCAGAGCAGGACCAAATAAAAAACCCAACTAGGGCAGGTCACTCAGAAAGGCATCCAGACAGGTCTTGAAAGTCTCCAGAGAAGGAAACTCCACAACCTCTCTTGGCAGCCTGTCCCAGGGCTCTGTAACCCTCACAGTAAAGAAGTTCTTCCTCATGTTGAGGTGGAACTTCCTGTGCTTGAGTTTGAATCCATTGCCCCTCGTCCTGTCACAGGGCACGACTGAAAAGAGGTTGTCCCTGCCTTCTTCATGCCCTCATGTATTTATAGACATTAATTAGGTCCCCCCTTGGTCTTCTCCTCTCTAGACTGAGAAGCCCCAGGTCTCTCAGCAGTGTACACCATGCTAGCAGGTTCTTCCTTCTCAAACTCAGAAAAAAAAATAACATATGGCTGCTGTAATAGTTAAATTTTCTTTGGTTAAAATCGTCTTGGGCTCCTACACCACAGCTGGCTACGTTTCCAGCTGAAGTGGCCTCGTTTTCTTGCCAAAGGAGAACCCAGAGCCCTCCCGGCACAGCCCTGACCGATGCGTTGCAGCAAACGTTTTCTCATACAGAACCTTCAGGGTTTGGGGTTTGGTTTTTTTTTGGTCT